AATAATTTGTTACTAAATCCCCGTGTATTACAGTGTTATCTACTGGAAAATCTCTCTGAACACAATGTTTTTGGTGTGCGCCGCGCCGTCAACAAAGTCTCTCGGATCAATGGCTATCTTGATCGCCTTTCTGGATGTTACTCGAGATAGGGCAACGTATAGCTGTCCGTGTGCAAACACAGGTGATTCCAGGTAGATACCTACGTGGTGTATTAACTGGCCTTGCGCCTTGTTAATCGTCATCGCAAACGCTGGTACTACCGGGAACTGCTTGCGTCGAAGGATAAACGGAAATTCTTTATCCTCGTCATCGCTCAGAAACACGATACGCGGCATAACACGCGTTGTCCACGTCGAGGGCCAGACATTATAGTCACGTCAATCCATTTCTCTCGCAAAGATACCACTCGCAGACTCGTTCCGTTGCACAAACCTTCGTCGCTATAAGATCGAGAATCATAACGATAGGAGTGCCAACTTTGAGAACCATCTTGTGAGGGGGCAATCCTGAGAAAATGAATGAGTTCAAAACCTCGGTCTCGAATAGGTTCTGAGCTCCGGGACCGTCGAGGCTGTCGTTGGAGAGATATTCTCGTGTCTCTCCAGACAATCGCTCAGCTACCTTTCGTTGATCCGACGAACGCTTGCATTGGGTTGGTGCCAAAATTGCACGATCCACAAAGTACTGATTTGGAAAGTCAGAATCACCCACCCCGGCGTAAATCGCACCGATCAGTGCGTTGATACTGCGAGTGCGCTGATCATCTTCAGGCTCGTCCAATTCGAGTTCACCTTCAGGATCCAATGGTGGAAGCAAATTGAAATTCGGGGCTTCGTACTCTGAATCATCAGAGGAATCTTGAATAGAAGTCGAGGAACCACCGGAGACTGAAGTAACGCACATGCTCTGCGGGATACAGATGTCGTTGTCGTAAATATCGCGATTCACCGGATAGCGACCCTCTCCAATTTGAAGTAAGAACTCCGAAAATTCGGCCAACTCCGCAGCATCATCTGGATCAAGCGCCGTTTTCACACGCATATTCTCTATCAAACGAAGCTCGCGAAAAGTTCGGTCAATAGCTTCGAAACACGCTCGATGTATCATCGGCGCCTCGTCCCAAATAATCAAACTGGC